GAGAGTTGACTTTTTTTTTTTTTTGATACCGGGGATCGAACTCGGGTCCTTGCACTTGCGAGGCAGGCAGCGGAACCACTGAGCTAAATCCCCGGCCCAAGAGTTGACTTTTGAAAATGATTTTATATTGTTTTGTAGAGGCAAACGTACCTATACTACACACAGCAGTTTTTGTCCACTGGTACACACTAGCAAATCTTTGGACTTGTGTACCAGGAGGTAGGTGTAAGAATATTAAATAGTAAAATATAATCAAGAGTCCAGAAAGAAACCCTTTCCTTGTTTTTCAGTAAGGGTACCAGGATATTTGGGATAACTGGCTAATTTTTCCACATGGAAAAAGAATGAAGTTGTACCTCTACTCCACAATAAGTGTCTTGTTACTATGGAGATAGTCAACTTATATGGAGAGAGGAGGGTTGCTTTCGCTCACAGTGGGGGAGGAGTTTTGGTTCGTGATTGGCTGCTCTGGGGCCATGGTGGCACATCATGGCAAAAGTGTGGCAGAGTAGAACTGCTTGCTTACCTCAAGCCTGGGAACCAAGGGGACTGGACACAGCCCCCATGGTCTCCTTCAAGGTCATGGCATGCCCAATGACCTGAAGCCCTCCCGCTAGACCCCACTTCCCAGTACCCCAAGCTGGGTCCCCAGCCTTTAGTGCATAGGCCTTTGGGAGACACTTAGAAATCATAGCAGAGTAAAGGCTTTAAAAGGTAAAACTATAAAACTCGAAGAACATAGGCATAACTTTATGACCATGAACTAGGCAATGGTTTCTTAAATATATCACTAAAAACATTTTAAAAAGATAGATTTTTATGAAAATTAAAACCTTTTAATTCTTCAAAGGGATACATTCAAGAAAATGAAAAGATAAGCCTGATGATAGAAAAAACTTGCAAAGTCATGTATCTGAGAAGGGGCATATATCTAGCCATATATATAAAGAACTACTACCTCAGACAGTCCAATTTAAAAATTGACAAAGAACCTGAGTAGGCATTTTTCCAAAAAAGATACACAAATGTCCAGTAAATGCATCAAAAGAAGATGAGTATTACTGGTCATTAAAGAGATGCATATGAAAATCAATGCAATACCACTGTGTACCTGCTCAGATGGCTCCCCTCCCCTGAGACAGAATCTCACTGTGTAGTTGAGACTGACCTGGATCCCACTATGTAGCCCAGGCTGGTCTCAAACTCACAGCGATCCTCCTGCCTCAGCCTCCCGAGTGCTGGGATTACAGGCATGCGCCACCACGCCCGGCTCAGATGGCTTTTTATCATGGGCAACAGCATGTGTTATAAAATGTGAAATATTTAAACTCTCCTAAATTACTGGTGGGAGTGTAAAATGTGGTGTGGCTGTTTTGGAAAACAGTTGGCAGTTTCTCTGACAGTTAAACATAGAGCTGCCTTGTGCCCCAGTGTTTCTAACTGTACACCCAAGAGAATTGAGAACATATGTTCACACAAAACTTATACACAGATATTCATAGCAACATTATTTATTATTTATTATAGTTTATAGCCCCCAAGTAGAAACAGCCTGAATGTCCATCAACAGGTAAAATATAACACAGCCATATGATGAAGTGTTATAAGGCCATAAGAAGGATTGAAATACTGATTTATGCCATAACAGAGGAGAACCTTGAAAACATACTAGGTGAAAGGAACCAGACAGAAAAGGTCACATATTGTATGATTCCTCTGTGTGGGTGCGTGCACACGTGTGTGGATGTGGGTGGGTGGGTGGGGCATTGGGGATTAATCCCCGGGTGCTCTACTGAGTTATACCTGACATTTTTTGGGGGTACCAGGGATTGGACTCAGGACCTTGTACTTGCAAGGCAGGCGGCAAAACCACTGAGCTAAATCCCTGGCCCTTATTATTTATTTTGAGACAAAGTCTCATCAAGTTGCCAGGCAAAACTTTATCTTGAGCTCCTCGTGCCTTAGCCTCCCAGAGTGCTGAGATTACAAGGGCATGTGTGTGTGCGCACGCACACATGCATGTGTGTGCCCAGCTTGATTCTATTAAATGTTCAGAATGGGAAAATAAGAAAGTTTCAGGATTACAACTTTCAAACATTAGTTTGTGTTGTTTTTTTTTTTAAGAATCTTATAAGTCAGCATTTAGAAATTATTCCTGTAATTCTGATCAAATTTATTTGCATAAGAAAGAAACACGGTCAAATAGAACTTAATTCTGAGCCATAGGTGATGTGTTATAAATTTTTCACTGTACAGCAGTGATTTTCAGCTTCTATTACATTAAGCCCTCTCTTTGGGCTTTAAGGATATGTAAGTGAATGTAAAAGAATGAAGAAAAATTAAGACTTTAATATTTATAAAGCAAACAATATGTTGTGAAAGAAGCTGCTGACCTTTGGTTTATGGATGGTGGTACCTGGTTTATATGAGGGCAAACTTTAGAAACAAATGGTTGGATGAGTCTTTCAAAAGCCTTGTTTGTTTGCTTGCTTGCTTATTTTGAGACAGGGTCTCACTGGGTAGTTCAGACTCGCCTTGAACTCACTGTGGAGCCCAGGCTGGCTTTGAACTCATGGTGATCCTCCTGCCTCAGCCTCTCACGTGCTGGGATTACAGGTCTGTGCCACCAGGCCTGGCTGAAAGCTTTTTTTAAGCCCCGAAGTTCTGATTGCTTCTTTCATCCTCTGGAAGTATAACTCTGTCAGACATTTGAATTGTCACAGTTTCTTTGAGGAAAGACTAAGGTTGTAGAAATCATTAAAATTGCTTCTAAAATAAATGAAAAATACTTCTGAATATTTATTCTAAATAAATATAACTTACCCAATGTTACCTGCCCTGTGCTAGCTTTTGCTTTCCATTGAATTGTGGACCTAATCTGGATTTAGAAACTCATTTTTTTGTTTGTACTGTAGTCTTTGGAAAAGTCATAACAGTTTACCAAAATTCAAACATGACCGTGATGCAAGAGAAGATTGGCAGAAAATACAGGGTTAGCATTCTTTGTAACAGCAGAGTATGTGCATAATTCTCAGGAACTGAGCCTGTCTGCAGAGATGTGCTAGTGCTGGCCAATGATGCATAAATGCAGTTCTTACCTTCCTGTATTTAATTGGAATGTTGAGCCAGAGAGTAAAAATTTTTAAACTAAATGTAAATAAACTTTTGACAGTTTCTGTTCTTTTTGCCCTGCCAGGTAAAATAATTAGAAAATGTATGGTTTTTGCATAGTATTTTTCAACCATTAATTTCAAAAATATGAAAAAGGGAACCCATGCAATTAAGAGACTTAAGAAGATATGAGGTTTTTTTTGGTGGTACTGGAGATCAAACTCGGAACCTCACACTTGCAAGACAGGTGTGGCACCACTGACCTAAATCACTGGCCCCATCACCTGTACTTTGAGAGCCCTTTGTATAACCTGATTGAAACAAACTCTTTAAAAACACAATTATAAATTTCAGTTCTGAATATTTTATATAATATAATTACATTTTTTAGATTGATAATGATTACTTTTTCATCATAGAGATGCATATAGAAATATTCCCAGATGATACGATCTGAGACTTGTTTTAAAATAGTGTCATTTAGTAAGTGGGTAGGAGATATTGATGACATAGATTATATGTTTGAATTTTTCCATAATAAAATGTTTAAAATTTAAGTATATGTAGTCAGTAAATTGCCAGTATAGTTACACAGACAGAACCTGTTGGAAGTTTTGTGGTATCTGTTGGGCTCTGCGTTCCATGGCCTGCTGGCCTGCTGGTAGTCTCTAGCTCATGACTGACATCTCAAGTTTCTGAGCATGCGGACAAGCCACTGGTGGTCCCTCAGTTGCCGCCTGCTTACCTGGCTTTTGGTGGGTAGCTGTGTAGCTGACTTCAGTCAGTCCATCTGTCCCATGGAAAATACATTTCAGGGTGCCCGTCCCATTCTGGTGATGGAGTAGATTTTTGCTTGAATCTTTGACTTAGATATAATGGCTTTCTGAATTTTTCTAATTTTAAACATTCTTTATAAACCTGGAAATTTAGTGTTAATGTTTCATTAACCAAATGTAATAAACCAGACTTAAAAACATTAAAAATTAATTTTTTCACAAATGTAAAGAATTTTATATTTCAGTAATAATGAGTCCAGGTTACTAATACTCATTTATACTTACTAATAATACTCATGAGTGAATCTTCTGAAATAGTAACATTTTCTCTTGGTATGGGTGGTTTTTTACTAGGTCATCTGTTTATCAGCCCTGATGATATAAAAAAAGTAGGCAGACTATAAAATTCCTCAGATGGGGCGCACTAGCAGGAGGTGCCATTCTTTTATCTAGATTCTGTGAACTTGCTGAATTGATGTTTACTGATGAATACTGCTCTTTTTTAAAGTTTTAAAAAGAATTAGCTAATAGCAGATTGAATTCTTTTAAGAGTAAGTTTTACTTAAAATGTAGGAAAAGTTTTTATTGTTTTAAGTTGTTCTGCTGATTTGTTGTGGGGAGATTGTGTGATCCCTTAAATCAGCAGTCAAGGTAATAGCAGCATACTTAGAAGTCTTACTTAATGAGTCCCATCCCTAGTAAAGACATAGGTAAGATGTTAGTGACCTATCCTGGCCCATTTGTTTTTCTGTTAGTAGTAGATTTGGATGAAGTTTAAATGTTTGGTGATATTAAACCTGAGGTGAAAGCTGGGCATGGTGGCACACGCCTGTAATCCCAGCACTCCGGAGGCTGAGGCAGGAGGATCACTGTGAGTTTGAGACCAGCCTGGTCTACATAGTGAGTTCCATCCAGGACAGTCTCAACTACATAGTGAGACCCTGTCTCAAAAAACCAAAAAAATAAATAAACCTGAGGTGAGTGGTAAACTTATGTTTTGATATCTGAGACACCATTTCTTGTTCAAAACCATGATTCTTCTTATAAAATTCAGAATTAAGACTGCGTCAAACATTTCTTCTTCTTTTGTTTTTTCTTCCTTTTATCCTTCAGCTGGCAATCCTTTGGTCCAGCAAGGTGGACAGCCGCTCATTCTGACCCAGAATCCAGCGCCAGGTCTGGGCACAATGGTTACTCAACCGGTTTTGAGGCCTGTCCAGGTCATGCAGAATGCCAATCATGTGACCAGTTCCCCTGTGGCCTCACAGCCAATATTCATTACTACACAGGTGAGTGGGACTCTGAATTCTGGGATTGATAGAGAGGGAGAGAGAAGGATTTTGATCCTTTGAAGACTATAATCTTAGGGTCTTTGGTATGGTTAGATATGGTCCAGTTTTATCTTTCGAGCTGGGTTTCCCATTCACTGCTTCATAATTAGATGCTGACCTTTGTGGAAAGCCTTGCATAGCATCAGGGCTGGATGATTTCCTTTTCACACTGCTAAGAGATTTGTGTTCTGTACACAAGTTAGCGGAGAGCTGGGAGTAAGAAGCCTTAACACTTAGCCTCAGAGCTTTTTTTCTGCACATGGGTAAGTTGGAGATTTGTATATGAAATTGGTAATCTTAGGAAGAGAAGGCAACTACTTGATGTATAATGTGGTGATTTGAAGTTGAAAGCCTAATTCTGAATGTGGACTCTAAGGGCAAATGCTTTTCTTTGCCCTTGGTTTCCTGAGTTACAAATTCTTCTCTTACAAATTTAGCCACTTCAGAGTGGGCTTTGGAACAGTTTCTCAGTTTCTCAGGATTTTTGTTTATAAGTTGAGTCACTCTAGGGCATACTGCTAGTTTATCTTACCTCCCTGATCCTGTGCTTTTAGCAGTTTAGGGGCCAGTTTGTGGATGCATTTTTTTTTTAAGCTGACACTCAAGTCAGAAGCAGACTTTCATTTTAGCTCATGTACCAAAGCTAGTTTCCATTGTTGATATTTTGTTGCTGAAAAATTTGTCAGAATTTCCTGAATTTTTCTATTTCAGTCATTTAAAAATTCCTACTCTAGTAAGAATTGTTAGTTAATAGTGTGGGAATTTTTTTGGATGTAGGTCATACTGCAGTCCATGTTAGCGTTAGTTGGTCTCCATATTAAAGATCATTTTGCTTTTTAATACAGGGGTTTCCTGTAAGGAATGTTCGGCCTGTACAAAATGCAATGAATCAGGTTGGGATTGTGCTGAACGTACAGCAAGGCCAAACAGTTAGACCAATTACACTAGTCCCAGGTAAGGAACAATGTCTATCCATTTGGAATAAACTGGCGTCCAGAAGATTTGTTTTTATTGTTTTAGATGCTCTAGGTCAGTATTAGTCAACCTTTTAGGGGAGTGCCCCAGCTACAGCCCCAAACCCACTCACTTATTTTAAAGTGCCAACACTGCAATTAAGCCTGAATAGTGAGGCTTTAGTTTAGAAAAAAACCACCATACTTAGCTTTTGTTGTCTTAAAAGAAAAAAATTAGGGGTGGGGATTTAGCCTGCCTTGCCAAGTACAAGGTCCTGAGTTCAATTCCTGGTACTAAAAAGGAAAAAAACCTACTACATACCTAACAGGTTCAACGCCATTGCTCTAGGTCATGTCAAAAGTATATCAAAAAATATTAAAATCTTCTGCCTGCCTTGTAAACACAGGGTGTCCCGAGTTTGGTCCCTGGTACCAAAACAAAACAAAACAAAACAAAACAAAAAAAAACCTTAATGATTTTGGCAAAACTGTATCTGGCCTTCAGCCAGGGTGGTGCTTTTATTATTACTATTATTTTTTCTATTTAGCTTTTCACTACCCTTCATAAGGTAGTAAAACACTGTTTAGTCATTTTCTGTAACTGCTGGCGTTTTTTGGTATTTTTTTGGTTTGGGGGGGTTTTTTTGAGACAGGGTCTTGCTTTACATACAGTTCAGGCTGGTTCACTGTGTAGCCCAGGGTATCTGTATCTGTTGTTGAGTCATCTATTAAATTTGTTATCCTGAAGGAACATTACTAATGCAAACTCAAAGTTCATACCCCATGAATATCTTCTCACTTACATGGTGGGATTACAAGCTGTACTTTTATAGCATAGGCTTTAGATATTAATTAAATGACATACTGTCAGCGACTAGATAGTAGTATTTTTTAAGACTGTTGGGCTGGGGTATAGAGTGTGTGTTTAGCACACACCAAGCCTTGGGTTCAGCCCCGCAAAAGTACTGTAATTTCCCACCAGTTCTCTACATTTCTCATGTGTTCTTTACTATATCTCAGCCCCCCCCAAAGACTATCTTAATTTAATTGTTTGTAAGAGAACCTCTGTAGTTTGTTTTCCTAAGATGTTTTGTTTTGTTCTCAGAACCCACACGAGTTTTGTTTTATATGTGATTAGTTTACTCTGTCACAGTTTCATTTCTTAAATGTTTCTCAGTTGAATTGTCTACAGTTGTGCTAAATGTTCTCTTTTGGACATCCTAGTAGAATGACATAGTCTGTCTTTATTTTATAAAAGAGAATGGAAGACTCCTTTACTATTCTGAGAAAGAAGAATCCCTTTTTTCTGGACTAAGTCTGCTACTTGGCCTGTAAATATTTTTTTTGAGACAGAGCCTTGCCTTATAGTTGAGGCTGGCCTTGAACTCACTGTGTAGCCCAGGCTGGCCTCGAACTCTCAGTGATTCTCCTGCCTCAGCCTCTCGAGTGCTGGGATTACAGGCACGCGCCACTACACCCAGCTTTGACCTATATATTCTTATACTTTTATTCTTTCTCTTGCAGTACCAAAGTCAAGCAACTGATTATATTTTAGAATAAAGAAGGTAGTGTAATAAGGTATTTTGGAAAGTTTTGATAGAAATCGTTTTTAGTTTAATACTTTTACTTTATGGAAGATAATTTCTTCTGTCAGCTTGGACACCTAATAATCACTTAGACATTAAAATCTATACTATTATTGGTAAGCATTGATGGTCACTGATCACTTTGGGGAAACCTTTTGCTCTTTTGTCATTTCTAGTAAAGGCAAGACCAATGTATATAGGTGAGCTTATTGACCAAGATTTTTCTTTGTCTCTTAAAAGCCCCAGGTACCCAGTTTGTTAAGCCAACAGTGGGAGTCCCACAAGTGTTCTCTCAGATGACCCCAGTGAGGCCAGGCTCCACCATGCCAGTGAGGCCCACCACCAACACCTTCACCACCGTCATCCCGGCTACTCTGACCATTCGAAGCACCGTCCCACAGTCCCAGTCGCAGCAGACCAAGTCCACTCCCAGCACTTCCACCACTCCCACTACCACGCAGCCGACCTCACTGGGGCAGCTAGCTGTTCAGCCTCCAGGCCAGTCCAGCCAGACCTCGAATCCCAAGTTAGGTGAGGCTTGGGAAGAGAGATGGCCAGCCAGAGTGGGTGTGGTAGGAGAACAGCTGATCGTCACTTGGTCAACGCAGCTCCCTCTTTCCCCTCTCCACCTGCAGTGAGCATTGCCAGCTTTGTCACTGTGAAGCGGCCTGGAGTTACAGGTGAAAATAACAGTGAAGTGGCCAAATTGGTGAATACCCTGAACACCATCCCTTCCCTGGGCCAGAGTCCTGGGCCAATGGTGGTACCCAACAACAGCTCTGCCCACGGTGCGCAAAGAACCACTGGACCTGAGTCTTCGATGAAAGGTATGTTCACTTGTAAAGGACACAGACACTTGTAAAAAGTATGGCTGAATCAGCTACAAAGAATTCTGTATATAGTTGTGCTTCGAAGATTGTCTAACAAAATGCATTGATTGACCAGAAATGGGTTCATCAAACCAGACATAGCTTCATGGAGGAAATGAATTTCTGAACAATTTTTTTTTTTTTTTTTTTAATTGAGATTTGGTAGAGAGGTTTTTACATGAAGGGTATAAATAGCATGAAAGTTGTCAGACAAGATCGGGTCATCTTCAGGGTGGTACAGCTATAGATAGTGTGAAGGGTTTCAGTGCTATAAAAGGAAAAAGTTGGCAGGCTTTCTGTGTAGGGCCCAATAGAAGTATTTTAGGTTCTGTGCATAGTGTGGTCTCTGCAAAAGCTACTCAGCTGTATCATTGTGGTGCAGAAGCAACCATAGATAACATAAAATTTGAATTTCATGTAATTTTCATGTGGGCAGAACATTTTGTCCTTTTGCTTTTATTCCAGCCATTTAAGATGGTATTGAGAAAGTTGGAACTAAACTCTTACTTTATACCAAATATAAAAATTAACTCAAAAATCATTGAAAGACCTAAACATATAAGCTAAAATTATGAAGTTAGACGAGAACAAGTAGAGGAAAGCTTCATGATAACTTGAATTGACAGTGATGAAACCCAGAAGCCCAGGCAAGAAAAGAAAAAACAGGCAAGCTGAATCAAAATGTAAAACTTTTGAGCATAAAAGAACACTGTGAACACAGGGAAAAGGTAACTCATGGGAAAAAATAATGTGCAGATTATGTGTCTACTAAGGAGTTCCTATCAGGGAATAACCCTGGAGTAAAGTATTCTGGACTCAGTCAAAACACACAAAAAAAAATCCCACTTACAAATCAGGAAAGGACTTGAGTAGACCTTTCATCAGAGAAAATTGTAAACGGGATGATTAAACGTGATGAAGTGCTCAGCATCTCCAGTCATTAGGGAAACGCAAATCAGAGCCACAGGATGTCATCTCATATCCATTCAGGTGATGACTATTGAAAAAAAATAGGATGTAGTTCAGTAGTAGAACATTTGCCTTAACAACTGTGAGGCCCTGTGTTTGATTCTCAGCACTGGAAAAACAAAACAAAATAAAAATCCAAAACAGGCCAGGTGAGGCAGTGCATGTCTGTAATTCCAGCACAAGGCTGGGGTGTAGCTGATTGTGAAAGCCCTGGGTTTAATCACCATTACCCCATTCCCCAAAGTAGGAACAAAATAACAAATGTTGGTAAAGATATGGAGAAAGTAGAGCCCTTGTGCATTGTTGGCAGGACTGTAAAATGTTGCGGCAATTTTGGAAAACATTATGGTGGCTCTGCAGAAATTAAAAAGAATTATCTGTGCTCTAATTCCCCTTCTGGGTGTAACCAAAACACATGTTAGCAGTGTCTAGAGCAGATATTTATACACCCGTGTTCATAGCATCATTATTGACAGTAGTTGAAAGGTAAACACAACACAAGTACCCATCAAATGATGAATAGATAGATAAAATGCGGTCCATTATCTGCTCTAAAGGAAGTTCTGGAGCTGAGTTAGTAGCACATGTCTGTCATTCCAACTCTCTGGGAGGCTGAGGCAGGAGGATCATAAGTTCCAGCTCAGCTGGACAACTGAGACTCATAATTTTAAAAAGGACTGGATATATAGCCTGCTGCAGTGTCCCCAGTAATCCTCTCAATTCTTCTCACTTCTTTCAGCGACCTCTTCCATCCCAGCGTTTGACCTTCAGGATGGTGGGCGGAAAGTCTGTCCGCGGTGTAGCGCTCAGTTCCGTGTCACCGAAGCGCTGCGAGGGCACATGTGTGTAAGTGACGGCGCTCAGATGGCTGCTGCCGCCTGCTGCCTTTAACAGTGAGGGCCTGTGCAGTGGGGGCTCTGCTGATGGGGACGCTTTTTAGAGAGGCTTTCGTCTGTTAGAAGAGCTACTTACTTGGAGTGTGATAGGGTACATTTTAAAGACCTTCAGATGGATCAGAACGTACGGGACCTGACTTCTTTAGCGTGGTAGATTTGGAACTCCACAAGGCGGGCTTACTAGGTAAGACCCCAAACCACACTGCCCTCCGTTCAGTTTCCATGACTTATGTCATTGAGTGAATTGAGAGTTTTTACCTGGTTCCCATTTCCTAGCCTTTTCACTTTTGAATATTGATCCAGAAGCGGAGGTTGGAACTTTTATCTGCCAGGGAGCTCAGAGCAAGTGAGTGGCTAAGGGGCTCTGAGGCAGGAGGAGCAGTGCAGTATAAGGTAAGGTGTTACGGGGTTCTGTGGCTGTGGACACACACTAGTGGAAGGGTGAACCCCATGTAAAACTGAAGGATGAAGGCAGGGTAAGAACATCTTACCACAGGGCCGGGCACAGTAGCGTGCACCTGTGGTTCCAGCTGCTTGGCCGGCTGGGGAGGGGGGTATTGCTTGAGCTGAGAGGTTGACCTGGATAATACAGCAGAAATTCATCTCCAACAACAGAAGAAAAATGTTTTACCACTTTAAAATAACAAAAGTGTTACCAGGGAATGTTAATAAAGTTACTGCATTTGGCCCCTAGAATAACCAGGATGATCATGTTTTCTTTCTTTACAGTATTGTTGCCCAGAAATGGTTGAATACAAGAAGAAAGGAAAGGCCCTGGATTCAGAACCTGGTGTCCCATCAGCAGCAAAACCCCCCTCCCCTGAGAAGACAGCTCCTGTTACTTCCACACCTTCTTGCACACCTGTTCCCACTCTGTCACCGCCTACCAAAGTTCCAGAGCCAAACGAGAATGCGGGTGACGCAGTCCAGACCAAGCTCATTATGCTGGTAGATGACTTCTACTATGGACGGGATGGCGGCAAAGTATCCCAGCTCACAAGCTTTCCTAAGGTCGCCACATCTTTCCGATGCCCTCATTGTACCAAAAGGCTGAAAAATAACATCCGGTAAGTGTTGCGGAGTCCTAGATGTTATCTCACGTAAAGGAAAACTTAAATTTTCTTACATGTTTAAGCATCGGTTTGGAGAAAGGTCCTTATTAATCAGTGACTAGCATTGTGAAAGCAGGTACTGTGGTAGCAAAGATGGCTTTGGGTGGGTAAGGGAAATGCGTGTCTCCTCACCCAGAACTTAGATTCAGGGACCCACATGGGTTCAAACCGGGGAGGGGAGCAGATGATGTTTACTCAGGATTCTACCACTGTATTTTTCAAAGGGTACTGATTTTGCTTTTCATGCTCTCTCTCTGTGCTGTGCTACAGATTCATGAACCACATGAAACACCATGTAGAACTCGATCAGCAGAACGGTGAGGTGGATGGTCACACTATCTGCCAACACTGTTACCGCCAGTTTTCCACTCCCTTCCAGCTCCAGTGCCACTTGGAAAATGTTCATAGTCCCTATGAATCTACGAGTAAGTTTAGGCGCTCTTACACCCTAGGGAGACATACCTTTTTCTCTCTGAATGGCAGAGAGGGGAGCCCATTACATTCATGTGGGTAACAGTGTAGAGGAGGTACTTTTGCACATATAGTTGCCCCCTTACTTTACATACCCTGTTTTCTTATGAGCCTGATTTAAAGTACTTTGCCAAAAAGACAATGTTTTTAATGAAATACATGGTGAGTTGGAGTGTTGTCTACATTGTGTATCTTATAGAAGAGGAAACATAAGGCCAGACACAGGCTCAGAGTAATTTATCTGCTTAAAATCCTGTATCTCCAGTAAGTTGACACTGTGAAAATTTGAGCTCTGGAGTATTTCTGATGATACAAACGATATATTATAAGCAAGCCAGGCACCTAATCCCAGCACTCGGGAGGCTGAGACAGGTGGATCTCCTAAGTTCAAGGCCGTCCTGCGCTACAGAGAACCCCAAACATACATTGTGTGATTCCAGTGATAGAGGAGAGAGTTCAGAGAAGGAAAAAGATCTGCAGCCGTGTTTACAGAAAGTGAGGTTAAACTTTCAGGGTCTTCAAATACAAGGATTTAGAGGAAGAGTAATTAGTAGGAAAAACTTTTAGGTAATTGGAAACAGCATGATCAAAAGCATAAAGACAGAAATAGAGGCCAGGGATGTAGCTCAGTAGCACCATGCCTGCCTTGCAAGTGCAAGGTCCTGAGTTAGATCCTCAGTACTGAAGACAAATAGTATATTATCTGGATACATTGCTCAATTAAAAACTCTGACTCAACATGGATTAATGAGATGATCTGTTAGATCGTCCAAGACATCTAGAGGCAGAGCAGGCTTCAAGACTAGAAGTTGACTGCTTCGCTGTGTCCAGCTGCCTCCAGCTGCCTCCTTGACTAGGTCATTGCCATGGGGCTGTGTTAGTGCCAGGAACCCTGTGTGTCCATGCAAGGGGTTAACTAGAGTCCAGACAGAAGAGATCACTGCAGGGCAGGGGATACATACATATAATCCCAACTACTGGTGAGGCTGAGGCAAGATCACAAATTTCAGCCCTGTGCAACTTAGTGAGAACCTGTCTCAAAATTTAAAAAGGGTTGAGGATGTAGCTCAGTGTAAAATCTCTGGGTTCAGGTCAATCCCCAGGTTCCACATAACAAAAAAAAAAA